TCCTTATACCTTTGTACATTTATCTATGTGACTGTACCATGAGTTTATTTTATTGACATTACTTCTAATATATTTCTTTGCAGCCATAATCATTATGTTATTTTTCTATTGTGGTTGTGCCTTAGTTTGGATGAGCATTTAAATCATCCTCCTAACTTTTATTTAAAACAAAGGATTAGCTCCTTTGCCTCCCATTTCAAGCGTTTCCATTACATATTAAAAAAAAAAAAATTCAGACATAATTAATGGGCGAACGTAAGCAACTATTATGCACCCTTCCTCGTAACCATACGCCCTTGTAGATACTGCATTGCCATTTTCCCTTGTCACACATGTACGGGTAGCTGAAGACGTGTCTTCTACGTAACGCAATCGTGAAAGTTAGGAGCCCTAATTTTTATTTGAAAACAATGACGATGTTCTCTGATCTTTCGCGGGATTTGGTAGAGGAGATACTCTCTAGGGTTCCGAGAACTTCTCTGAGAGTAGTGAGATCTACTTGCAAACCATGGAACGCTTTATCCAAAGATTGGATTTTGTGTAATGCAGAAGTAACCGATCAGTTTCTAGGGTTCATGATGAAGGAGTTTAAGGTTTGTTCTGTGAGACTCGGTCTCCATGGAATCCTCAACGAAGATGCTGAAGAATTCGTTGATCAATCTATAAAGGAGATAGGAGGTAATATATTTAATTAAGTCGAGATATCTAAATTCTTTCACTGCGATGGTTTATTGTTATGCGTCACAAGGGACAAAACTAGGCTTGTAGTTTGGAATCCGTATTTGGGACAAACCAGGTGGATCGAACCTAGAGAACATTTCCACATATTAGATAGGTAGGCTCTCGCATACGACGTGAACAAGAATCACAAGATCTTGAGGTTTTCGGTTGATGGCAACAACGTTTTCTTGTACGAAATCTAACTAGTATTAATGGCCGTGCAAATGCACGGACTTACTTGTCTTTGGTTTGAGAACAATCAAATATTTTCAATAAAAAAACTAGTT